CCTGTAGATTTTTTTTTCTTGACCTTTGGTATATGTGCTGCACTTTTACAAAAAATAAAAGGCTGTTACCTCCCCATCTCCAAGAGACCAATGCTACCTCCCTAACTTATCAACATCTTGCGACCTGCACAGTGATAACTGAAAACATGGTGAGCCTTGATTCAAAACCACACATTTTTTGTGGCTGGCCTTTATAAGCAGAGTGAGAAGTACCAGTGCTCTGTAGGATCTATGAAGTTTCTTCCAGACCTCAGCATACTCCCCCAGGTGTCTTCCTGTATACCTGATATCATTGAAAGAGCCCCCAAACCCTCCAGCAACACTCTTCAACTCCATCACATAGCATGCTTACATTATACATACATTTTGCTATTTTAACTATGAAACAAAAGTCAAAGGCATAAACAAGACTACATTATTCTTAATTAGATGTCTAACTTTTGATGTTTAACTGTATGTACAATGTTCCTTTAAAAACACATACTTGAGTTTAGGGCTTTCACTGCTACAGCTGTGCACACATCCTATGATCTGATAGGGAAAAGGAGAGAGGATCAGCTATGTATTAGAAGACTAGTTCCACAAAAGTGAGGCTAATCCAGGAAGTACGTACTATGTCCCCATTTTGAGCATCTCACATGGATAGAAAAGATCTTATTTAGCATAAGATGGAAGTATCTACTTCACCTTCTGCTTTATCTTAAAGATATTTAGGAAAACTAGGAGGAAACAGGCTCACAGGCTGAGTTAAAGGTTCAGTTTCAGAAAGAGCATCACATTTTTCTTAAACATGCTGTTCACTTCCTTTTTTTTTTTTTTTTTAACTAGGAATCTTGTAGTGTTGCATGCTCAGTGATGAAAAGTTCTTCCTTATATTTTGGAGATCCTTATCTTCAGTAGTTCGGCAGATCATGACACAGAAGCTACAAGCTGTAGAAATAGCTTAGCAGGGTAGGACTGAGAAGGTAGAAGTCTTATTTACATACCACTTTACCCTATGTGCTGAGTTGTAGTTGCTCTTTTGCTGATATTAGCCAAACACTTAAAGATACAAGAACAGAGAAAACGTGACTTTAAAGACAGTATTAAAGGCTTAAAAAAAGATTAAAAAATAATCAAACTCAGTTATTTAAATAACCTATTGTCCACAGAACTCAGTCGCTGCACATCTTGTGTTTGATGTGTGAGCATGCAGAAAAAACACAAGGAAGGTATTTAAAACATCACAGCATTACTGAGATATTGAAAGAAAAGCCAAAACTAAAGGCATGATTAGTTTAGTTTTATGCTACAAAAATACAAAGAAAACATTTCAGACTATAACATGCCTTTTACATTCCTACTAACTTCACATCCAAATTAAGGATGAGAAAAAAATTAACAATGACATTCTTATATACTTGAGAAAATTAAATTTAAATAGAGACCACAAGAGACACTAGAAACCCCACAATACCTCCCCACTACCTACCTCACTAGCTGTTCATCTAATTAATTTACCCCAGTTTTTCCTCCTATCTTTAAATAGCCAAAGATGTTGATTGATTGGAAAGTGATTTTCAGACAGGCCAATTAAAGGGTGAAGAGGCTTTGCAGACATACATGTAAACCTTCCATCTACACCTAAGCTCTTTTTTTTTTTTTCCAGTAAAAGTTCTTTCTAATGAGGTAGCAAGTAAATATCTTTTCTGATCACTTATCATGGTGAATATGGCAGCTTTAGCTTTAAAAATGCTTTTTTTTTTTTTTTTTTTTTTTTTTTTTTTTAGGGTATTTAAAGAATAAATTTTAGTCCTTGATCTGGTTTTGGCTAGGATAGTGCTAATTTTTATATTTCCTACTTTAGTAGCTAGAATGTGTTTTGAATTCAGTATGGGGTTGGTATGAGAAGAATGTTCATAATGTAGTAGTTTTAGTTGTTGCTAAGAAATCAAGGACTTTTCAACTTCCTGTACCCTGCTAGTGCGCAGGTTACACAAGAAGCTGGGAGAGAGCACAGCCAGAGCAACAGACCCAAACTGGGAAGTGAAATATTCCTTATCATACAATATCATGAGCAGTACATAGATGAGGGTTGATCGGGAAGATCACTCGCTTCTGAGATTGGGGGTTTGGGATTCTTACTCCTCTGGGAACAGGCTGGGAATCAGTTGGCAAGTGGTGAGCAATCATATTGTGTGTTACTTGTTTATATTTTCTATTGTTACTATTATTATAATTATTTTAACTTTATTTCAATTACTTTTTTTTTTTTTTTTTAATCTTAACCTATGAGTCTCCTTACCTTTATCCCTCCAATTCTCTTCTCAATTTCCTAGCAGGGGAGGGTGAGCAAGTGGCTGCATGGTGGTTGGCTGCTGGGAGGGTTTAAACCATGACAGCCCTTTATCTGTGTTTACAGGTAGCACAGGTCTGGGGTTTGGGGTTTTTTTGGTTGTTGTTTTGTTTTTTTTTTTCTGTACTTAAAGCTCTTTCTATTTTGTAGCAATATTGCTTCATTTTAGAAAACAAGCAAGTAGTTTAAAAGTGGGGAGGGAGGTTGTCTATTTATATATTTGGTTATGACTTGAACATGTAAGTTCTCTAATATACTCAGAGCAGGAAAAAAGATCATTATTGTTATTATATCCTTAAGATGAACATGTTAAGATTTTCTACCAGTTACTGAGCTTATAGCAAAATTTTCCCTTGTTATATCAGTTCTGGAGTTCCTTGTACTCATAGCACTGAATTTTCTGTGCTAAAACTACATCTGGCTTAGGGATGGATTGAGCTTCATCAAGGAGAAATATGTGAGAATGCAAAAGTCAGTAGCAGCAAGCTTGGCATTAAAGAGACAGGATTTCTGCTAACTCATGCTACATCATTGGCTGTTTGTTCCCAAACAGGCTGGCAAGTGTCTCATTTCCTAACCTGCATATAGGAAAGTCCACACAATATTTAAAACCTCAAGAGCAGCTTGCACCCTTTGTCTGCTGTAGTAATTAATCTGCTTTGACCTTTCTGACTTTGCTTGCGGATTTGATGTTGTTTTGCTGTCTAGAAAGTGTATGTGTGTTTCCAGGGACACTGCAATGGACGCTTGATTCTCCTCATTATTGCTCTGTTAATATTTCAAGGTTCTTACCTTCTGCTAACCTAAATTAGGTGTAACAAGTCTCCTGGGCATTTAGAAAGGGCAGCAAGGTGGGTTATCATGTGCAAGAATCTTCTAAGTACCTGCTTGTAGGTTACAGAGGCCAAAGCAAACTCTTGAGGACCATCACTGCTGACTCTGGAGCTGGAGGCTGGCTTGGAGAGTGTGTGCTCGGAGGTGGGAGATGATGGCCTGTTGCTCTGGCTCAGGGGCGCCGGGGGTGTTAGCAGCGGCGGGGCAGGGAGGAGCACAGAGCCCTTCAGCAGGCGTGAATCGAGCCCAGGCCAATGGGGACTGGAAATAATTATAAAAAAAGAAGCAGCAGGCGATTGCCTGCCAGTTTCCTTGTCATGCTTCGAGTGATATAGCTTGTTCAGGGATTTGCTGGTGTGAGCTGTAATTCAAAGGCCATTCTCACAGTTTATATTTAAAAATTAATTAAAACAGGTTTATGGTACAGTGGTCTCCTGTCTTTCCCTTAGTTTTCCTCCTCTCCCCACCATGTTGAGAAGGGACTAGGTTAAAGCCAAAACGCACCTACATAAAGGAAAGTGAAACTAAATGCGCTTACTGAAAGGCAATTGAATTGGGGAAATGAGAGATGAAACTTCACCCCTAAGTACAAACCATGAGCTTCTCCTCAGCGGGCTGGTGGTTATGAGAGGAGATGGCTGTGGTGGTGGGGCTGTGGCCCGACATGCTATGTGGATTCACAGGGAAGAGTAAAGTATTTAGGTTGGCCATTCATTGTCCTGTTTGCTTCTAAAGTTTCTCAACTCCTATCCAATATTTTTTCACACTAAACTGTTTTGTAGCATTTAAGCTTACTGTATTTTGCTTCTGAGGAAATGAGATAGTTTGGGGGGAATGATACAGTGAGGGATTTCCTGTCTCTTATGGTAATTTTGATTATTTTGCTTAAATGAACATCTTGGTTTTGAGTAGATTGCTGGCTGATTTCTGATTAGTGAGCCCAACTTCTGCCTTGTGTGCTTTGTGCACTGGACTGTGCAGCAGACTTGTTAGCTTTGTGTGAAGTATGCTTGTGTTAGTCTGCTGTTACCCTCTGAGAGCACACCATTTTGCACTCCTTTCTTCTTTAACATCAAGCATGAGTTAGCATTGCCCATGGGTGCAAGAAAGTCTTTTCTCACCATGGATTCATCACTATTTTTCCAGTAGGGAGAGCACGGCATAAGGATTTGCACAGGCCTGGCAGGGAGTTGTAATGCTGAGCACAGGAAAGATTTTGCTTGCAGGCTGGTGTTAAACCCCTCACCTTCAGCTTAAGGGGCTGTTAGCAAGGATGCTTGGGCTGTGGGGGCTCTCCCAACATCACACTGGGCTAGGTGGAAGAGACGTGAGGGTTCGCTCTTGGGAAATTTGAGGAGCAGGTCTGCTCCCTCTCAAAGCTGCCTTTGCTTGGGGATCCTCATTCTTCATACTTCGATCTCTTGGATAAATATTATGATAATTAGATGAAAAGATTTCTGTGCCACCTGTTTAATTTGTGTCACTTGTGGTCTGTTATCTTTTGTGACCGAGATACTTGTGTTTAAGTGTTTAGACCTATGAAGTGAGCACAGTGTTTAAAGGCCAGTGGAGAGCTGAAGCAGCAGCCAGCTCTTCTTCGCTTTCTGTGTAAATAGCATGAAGGGTGATTGAACTTCTGGACCTCCTGATTTCCAAATAGCCTTATTCAGGATAGCCCTCATTTATTTTCCTCATTGGTGCGTGATTCTGTGAAACATTTCTCTCATATTCTAGAACACAGAGGTTAAACATGAGAAATTTTTTATTTTTTTAAAAAAAGCTCTGCTTATTTATATATGTGTATGATTGGAGTGACATTGTTTCTTCTCCTGTGCTGTTCTCCAGATTGTGAATCAATCCAAGAATGAACAAATGTAAGAAGCCTTATGTTGACCAGACTAGAAACCTTGAAAAGTTCAGTCCTGAAATTCTTTCTGAAATTGAGAAGCTCTTTGAAAAGAAGTTTACTTACACTAAGCCAGTGAATAATGAATGGAAGCTCCCAGATCCCAGTGATGCTTTTACGTGTGATCACAAGGAATTCAGCTCACTACAGGCTCTGAAGGACTCGATGAATGACGTGAAGAATCAGCTGAGTGATAAGAACCTGGATGAATGGCATCAGCATACCTCATTTACCAATAAAGCAGGGAAAATAATTCCTCATGTGAAGAAATCTGTGAATGCTGAGCTGTGTACACAGGCATGGTGCAAGTTTCATGAGATCCTGTGCAGTTTTCCTCTTCTCCCCGAAGAAGCTCTTCAGGAAGGAGAACTGAATTCTGTCCACCTCTGTGAAGCACCTGGAGCTTTTATAGCCAGTCTCAATCACTACTTGAAATCCCACCATGTCCCATGCGACTGGAATTGGGTAGCTAATACTTTAAACCCATACCATGAAGCAAATGACACTCTTATAATGATCATGGATGACCGTCTTATGGCAAATACATTGCCTTGGTGGTACTTTGGCCCAGATAACACTGGTGATGTGATGACATTGAAACATTTAACAGGACTTCAGAACTTTGTGAGTAATATGGCCACAGTTCACTTGGTAACTGCTGATGGCAGCTTTGATTGCCAGGGAAATCCAGGAGAACAGGAGGCTCTTGTCTCACCCCTTCATTACTGTGAAACAGTCACTGCTTTAATGATCCTGGGCACTGGAGGTTCCTTTGTTTTGAAGATGTTCACACTGTTTGAACACTGTTCTACCAATCTGCTCTTTCTGCTAAACTGCTCTTTTGAGGAGGTCCATGTCTTTAAGCCAGCCACTAGCAAAGCTGGAAACTCAGAGGCCTATGTGATTTGTCTTCGTTATATGGGCAGAGAAAGCATTCATCTGCTGCTTTCTAAGATGATACAGAACTTTGGAACAGAAATGGTCAACAAAGCACTTTTTCCCCAGCATATGCTACCGGAATCTTTTCTTAAAATACATGAAGAGTGTTGCATGTTCTTTCACAAGTGCCAGATAGAGACCATCTCTGAGAACATCCATCTCTTTGAGCGCATGGAAGAAGCAGAGCAGACGAAACTGAACGAGTTACGAGATTGTGCAGTAGAGTTCTTCATGCAAAGACTTCGTATGAAACCCATTGCCAGAAATAACTGGCTTGTCAAGAAATCTCAGACTGGATGCAGCATGAATGCGAAATGGTTTGGACAAAGAAACAAATATTTTAGTACCTACAATGAAAGGAAGATGCTGGAAACCCTTACATGGAATGATAAAGTGGCAAAGGGCTATTTTAATCACTGGGCTGAAGAACATAGTTTAAATAATGCTGGAAAAATGTGCATCCTGGAAGGATTGTCTTGTAACCTTGAGTGTAGCCTGTGGTACATTTTGGAAGGCAAAAGACTACCAGTGGTAAAATGTTCTCCGTTTTGTGATGGTCAAGTTTTGGAAAATCTCAATGAAGCTATGAACAACTTGGTGCAGGAGAGGCTGAAAAGCAGACAAAGGCTGCAGACTTGTCAATCCTGTGAAGTTCTTCCTGGGGAACTCATACTGGCAGAAGTGTCTGACCTTTCCAGCTGTCATCAGGAAGTCCTAAATGAAAGATGTGGTGACCAATTCAAGTGCCTTGTGGTGGACTTTCCATTCCTCTGTGATACTGAAAGCCAACCCAGTATGGAAATAAAGCTCCTGGACTCAGCCACACTGCTGACTTTCAGCTTCTCTTTGCTTTACGATGGAGAACCAAAGTACCAGCAGCAGCTTTTGGAGTGTGTTCTGCATTCATTGAATCAGCTTACAACAGGAGATGCATTGATTTTGCCTATTCTCTCTTGCTTTACACGCTTCACAGCTGGCCTGGTCTTTATACTGCATTGCTGTTTCAGATGCGTCACGTTTGCTTGTCCAACCTCCCATGAGCCTCTAAGGACTAGTGCTGCTTTGCTGTGCATTGGTTACCGAGGCCTCCCAAATCCAGTTGTTGAATATCTGCAGCATTTGAATAAACGGATGAGCTCTTTACTAGTGTCAGACTCTCCCCAGCAGGTCTTGCAGTTTGTGCCTATGGAGGTTCTCCTCCAGAGCAAACTGTTGGACTTCTTATGGGATTTAAACACAGCCGTTGCAAAGAGACAACTCCATTTGATTGTGCAAGCTAAACAGCAGCAAATGACTAGCAATATTTCACTTTAGAATAGAATTGAGCAAGTTGCTGCTGCTAGATCTTGTTTCACGGGCAGTTAGAAGGTGTTAAAAACATTGTTAATGCAGAGGTAATGTTACTGTAAAACCTTGGTGTGTCATTGTGACTGTTGGGAGGATGTTTTGAGCTATCAATCCCACTTATACCATATTGGCCTGTCGTACAGTAGCCTGAGGTTTTAATCTTGGGCATGGGGGACTTGGGAGAGACAGTGACTGAAGCGGTGAAACTGTCTGTCCTCTGTCACAACGCTCTCTGAGCAAACTCCTTTGTGTACCACCTGGGTCAGAAGTGTGGCCTTCGTGATGAGCAGTGCTATGGAGATTTGTACCTGTTGGATCAGGCCAGACAATGGGGGACCCTCTTGTGTGACATTAGCACTCTTCTGCAGAGCAAAATGTGGGAGTTTTGACACACCTGTGTACTTTTCCAGCGTTTGTAGAAGCCAAAATGTGAGGTTTGGGCCAGAACGCTCAGCAGTATGCAAGCCTGATGTGAGACCTGAGGGATGAGTGTCTTGTGAGCAGGTAGCTGTCTCACAAAGGCTGGGTTAAAAATGACAGCCTGTAGGCAGTAGCAGTGGTGTCCAGGGTTAGATGCTCTTTGGTTTTCATTTTGTTTATGTGAAGAGCAGCAGGCTGTATGGTTTTTGACAAGTTATTGTATGGTTTTGTCTCCCCATCAATGAATGGGCTGTTAGAACGTTATTTTTAAGTGGCTTATGGATGTTCCTTAAAATAATTTGAGACTCCTGAGTGAAAGCGAATACTTGCATCTGTCTATTGCAGCAGCTATTAATGAGGAAATGCACGTGTTTTTCAGGCTAAAAATGTGATCGTGCACAAATTTGTGTATCAAAAAATGCTTTGGGTACTGCTGGAGGAGCATTAAGCTGAAGAAATATGTGATAACTTTCTTTGGGAAGGTATGATTAAGATTTCAGTTGGATCCCCTTAAGGATAAAAATGATGAAGTTGGTAACTGACTGTTCCTTTAAGGGAGTCAAATTTTATTTTCCATATTGATCCTCTGAGTGCTGAATTTTGAGGCTTAACTTTTGTGTATTAATGTTTAGTTTTAAGTTTGTAGTGTACATGGAACAACCTGCTCAGAGGGAGAAATGATGTTTAAAGGAAAAATGACTTTGCTGTTCATGGGTGCAAGATCTTGGAGAAAAAGGCCAAAAGAATGGAGTTAGCAAGTAGGAAAACCTACTCTCCTGATAAATTACCAGTCACCTTCTGGAAGCACTTCTAATTATATAATGTGGGAGCTTGAAGGATAGTTGATTACTGGTAAGGAATTAAAAGTACTGCTGAAAATCTGTTTTGTCTGGAGGTGCTGCACATTTAATAGGCTTTCTTGCCACGTTGATTGGGGCAGAGTTTAATGCATTTAACAGTTCATTTTTTATTGAAGAACTTGATAGGTGAATGAATTGGTGGCTTAGGTCTGACTAATTCATAACATTTTCTAAAAATCTTGCTTTTTATACTTGCATGTAAATAGAAGCTACCTAACAAAAGCTTCTGGGATTGGCCGTTGTCCATTTGAATTTATTTAAATGAACTTGCTCTTTTTGCTATAAGCTGAGTCATGCTTCCTATTTCAGACCAGGAAGGAAGGGAGCAGAGGCTACAGTCTGGGGGATATATGCAGTAATAGCTTCTCCTGTAAATCATTTTTGAACCTGTAAACTCAAGAGTGCAAGCAGGGCGACAGATGAATTTGACCGAGGTATAAAAATGAAATACTGAAAATGGGAATAAAGAAGGGGGGAAGAAATATTGTACAAGAACAATGATGAGACAGTATCAAAGATCAACTGTAGAAGTCATCTTTATCTCAGACAAAAAGCTGGATAAAAATACTGTCCACTAAAGACACCCCTGTGTCTCTGCCACTGCTTCAGAGGTGATTAATTCTTTTGAAACTTCCACTGAGCTGAAGCGTTTGCAAAGATACCTCCAAAGCAGGGGTGAACGAGATATTGCAGGCACATGGGTGTGCTTACACTGTGCTGTTCTGCCGTGGAGGCATGAGTAGCCAGAAGCATCTCATCTAGTAGGTACTTAAATAACTTGGGTGTTTTTCTGACTGACATTAGTCTAATATTTTAAACTTACTGTTCTATAGGTAAAGTAAAATCCTGAGGTGACTGACAGACCCTGAGAGAAAATGCATTTATTTTTTGAGCTTTCCTTGGTCTGTTGTGTACCTCTGACAAACTATGCAGACTTCCATGAAATTCCTCCCATCCCATTATCCCCTGTATCATCAGTCCCTTTTTCCATAAATTTTTAGGGGAGAACATTTTAGATGGTCACAAAGCTTTGGGCGAGTTAAGACTGTGTACTTACTGAGCTAGTGGGGAAGCATAATCCCTCTTGTTTGGAAGTAACCCCAAAAAAATGTGTGCAAGCCCTCCTGGGGAAAGCCAGATCTCTAAACCAAAGGAAACCCAATGTCCTGTGGATCCTGATGCCTGATTTGCTCTGGAACTTTTTGTTGGCAGACATGGGCAGACGACAGGAGAAATGCTTTCACCGCAGCTGCTCCTGTTAAAAAGAAAGGATGTGGTTTGGAGAGTCTTTTTAATTATTGTTGTCTTAATGGCAGGAGTGTCAAAGTCAGGAATGACACTTGTCCTCTTAATTGTGAGAATCCTTCATTGTCCTAGCTGTCATTAGACCAAAGATTTCTCTGAGAAGTGACACTTAATTTCTGTTGTGACTTTTGGAATATGTAAGAACGAAAGGGAAGAATGTATTAACCTTTGTGGAGAGGGTCTGATGACTCCTGCCTTCATTGAGGCTGTCAGTTTTTGGCCCATTTGATTTGATTTTGTGTGACACCTGATAAAGTGTCCTAGTACCCTGTCTCCTTTTAAGTTGTTTTTTTACCTATTCAAAGATGAACTGGGCATTGGTTTTCATAATTAGGACCTTCACGTTTCACACAGGGGAAAAATAGAGGAGGAGGAGAGAATAAGCTGGTTATGATGTGATTAAGATTCATGCGAACTTGAGGTAAACTTAATTTTGTAGCCCTGCTGTTACAGGTTTCCAATGAAGGACCAATATCTAGGCCCAGTGATTAGCTATGAGCTATATTTATTTCTCTGAAACTTTTTGGATCTTTTGTTTTAAGCCAGCATAACATTTTGAAATCAGTTGAATGAGGGTTGTATGAATTGGGTACTCCACCAAGTGAAAATGCTGATTTTTTTTTTTTTTTAAAGTTGAGTTCCATTAAAGTTGAGAGACTTGCCACTAATTTTACTAATTTTTTATTGTATTTAGATTCATCTGGATGTGCACAGATTGTATGTGTTCTTGCCACTGACTTTCCAATTTAATTTCTACAAAACATAATGAGATTTACAGTATGAAATTCGGTAGTCTATTAAAATGGTACTAATTGGTGTCTATTCATCTTAATTTAAGATGGATCTATCAAATTACTTGTTCTAATAGTAGGATATGTAGCAGAATTCTGTTCCATTAGAAAAACAATTTGGGACTTAACGGGAAGGGATTAGTACTCCTTATGTAAAAAGTAGGAGAAAAGAAAAACACACCCTGATTTCTGGGTTGTGAGCTGGCTGCTTTAGGATGCAGAATAACATTGAGTCCTTGCTTCACTGGAAGCAAGGGCTGACCAGTGAGCTAAAGCCTCAGTGCCTCCATCTCAGTGCCTGTTACCATCCCTAAAACCATCTTTTGATATCCCTTTAATTTACACTTGATTTAATTTTTAATATTAAAGCAGGGGAAATCCTGTGTAACTTGTCTTACCATTTTGGGTGGTATGAAATGAGGTAGTTTCTCAGTACTTCTCCCCATTTCTCATTTTTTAAATGAGAGCCTCTAAATTTCACCTCGTAGCCTTTGAATATCACTCTCTTTTTTAGTACTTCAGTAAGCAAAGACAGATTAAAATTTCCTTGCCAGAGTCTGGTAATGGATTCACCATCTTGTTCTTGCAACAGTTTTTGTGAATGCCATGCAGATATCCTTAGTTCCAGTTCTTTGTGCACTTCAGTCACTTGACAGAAAGATCAAATGGAGCTGTTTATGCCAGAAAAACGCTCAGCCTGTGGCTGCTCATTGCTTACTCTTTAGGCAATGATTTGGATTGCCATCGAGCCCTCTCTTGTGACTCCTTGTGGGTCCAGAGCTGATTTCAAGACTTAAGAATGAAATTTGCTAGAAGAATTAGCCAGTGGCTGTAGACACTTATGCTTATAACAAGCAGAACTTAGGAGACCTATAAATGCAGGAAACTTTTCCACCAGCCAGGAGAGGCTCATATAACATGCAGCTGGGAAGGATTTGCTAGCCTTTCCTTGATAAAAATTCTTTTAAAAAGGCTTTGAGGCATAACCACCCGAAGAAACAGTTCATCAGTTGTGTGCACCTTTCTTGTACACACGGGTATGTTCATGTTTGCACATGTGCAAACCCCCAGGACTGTACAGCCATGAAGCTTTTGCTTTGTAACTAGTCCATGTGTGCTTTTGTTTTGAAGGATGTATGTATTTTTCTAATAGTAGATGAAGGGATGTTGGTTTACATGGCTATTGCATATTTCACTTGGTCTGCAAATGAGTGTTAAAAGACCTTTTTTAAAAGAAAGGAAAATAGATGTTATTTGGAGAAAGGAAAGTATTTTATTTTAGGTTTTAAATATTGCTATTTCATAGAATCATAGAATCACAGAATCATAGAATGGTTTGGGTTGGAAGAGACCTTAAACATCATCTAGTTCCACCCCCCTGCCATGGGCAGGGTCACCTTCCACTAGCCCAGGTTGCCCAAAGCCCCGTCCAACCTGGCCTTGAACCCTTCCAGGGAAGGGGCAGCCACAGCTTCTCTGGGCAACCTGTGCCAGTGTCTCACCACCCTCACAATAAAGAATTTTTTCCTTATGTCTAATCTAAATCTTCCCTCTTTTAGTTTAAAGCTGTTACCCCTCATCCCATCCTTACAGTCCCTAATAGAGTCCCTCCCCACCTTTCCTGTAGCCCCTTTCAGTACTGGGAGGCCACTCTAAGGTCTCCCCGGAGCCTTCTCCAGGCTGAACACCCCCAACTCTCTCAGCCTGTCCTCACAGGGGAGGTGCTCCAGCCCCTTGATCATCCTCATGGCCTCCTCTGGACCTGCTCAAGGTCCTTCTGGCATTCTGGCAGGGGGGTCTCACCAGAGTGGAGCAGAGGGAAAGAATCCCCTCCGTCGACCTGCTGGCCACACTGTTCTTGGTGCAGCCCAGGATACTGTTGGCTTTCTGGGCTGTGAGGCACATTGCTACCTCATAGTCATTTCTCCATCCACTAATACCCCCAAGTCCTTCTCCCTGGGGCTGCTCTCCATCCACTCGTCACCCAGCCTGTATTTGTGCTTGGGATTGCCCAGATCCATGGGCAGGACCTTGCACTTGGCCTTGTTGAACTCCATGAGGTTTGCACGGTCCCACCTCTCCAGCCTGTCCAGGTCCCTCTGGATGGCACATCCCTTCCCTCCAGCCTGTCGACCACACCACACAGCTCGGTGTCATCGCAAACTTGCTGAGGGTGCCTCAGTCCTATTGTCAGTGTCACTGACAAAGGTGTTAAGCAGCACTGGTCCCAGCACTGACCCGAGGAACGCCACTCGTCACTGCTCTCCACTTGGACATTGAGCTGTTGACCACAACTCTTTGAGTGTGACCATCGAGGCAATTCCTTTTCCCCCGACTGGTCCATCCATCAAATCCATGTCTTTCCAATTTAGAGCCAAGGATGTCATGTGGGACAACTGCTTTGCATGGGTCGAGGTAGATGATGTCAGTTGCTCTTCCCTTATCCACAAACACTGTAACCTCATTGTAGAAGGCCCCCAGATTCATCAGGCAAGATTTGCTACTGCCAAGCAGATCCCTGAAGAGGCCAAAGTGTGCTCTCCTGAAGTCCAGGGTAGGGAGCTTGCTGCATGTCCTTCTCGCTGTCCTAAAGTTCTTGAACTCCCCTATTTCATGGTGACTGCAGCCAAGACTGCCCTTGAGTTTGGTGAGAACATGGTGCAGCACAGCACCTCTCCTTGTTGGCTCCTCTGTCACTAGGAGAAGGAAGTTATCATCAAGGCATTCCAGGAACCTCCTGGATTGCTTATGCCCAGCTGTGTTGTCCCTCCAGCAGATACTGGGATGGTTGAAGTCCCCCATGACAACTAGGGCTTATGAATGTCCACCCAGTCTTCCTGGTCAGGTGGCCTGTAGCAGATCCCCACTAAAAATGTCTCATGTCCCTGCCTTCCCTTTAATCCTGACCCATAAGCTCTTGGTCAGCTCCTCCTCCATCCACAGCCAGGGCTCCCTGCACTCCAGCTGGTCTCTGACATAGAGGGTGACACCCCCTTCTTGTCTCCCCTGCCTGTCCTTCCTAAAGAACCTGTAACCTTCCATTCCAGCACTCCAGCCACAGGATCCCACCATGTCTCCGTGATGCCAATAAGATCATACCTTGCAGCCATACACATCTCCGGCTCCTCTTGTTTATTGCCCATGCTATGTGCGTTTGCATAGAGGCATTTAAGTTGGGCCCCATGAAGCTGACTTTCTGGCTGGAATGTCTTTGTGCTGCTCTACAGTTGCTCTCCTGCTGCCCTGTGACCCTGCTTCAGGCTCTGGGCATCTATTTCTGGCACTGTCATCAGGCTGGTAGGAGTGGGATGGAACAGGATTCCCCTCCCCTAGCAGTTTGAGTTTAAAGCCCTCTTCACCAGCTTGGCAAGCCTATGGCTGAATATGCTCTTCACCTTCTGACAGTTGGATCCCAACAGCCCCTGGCAGCTCAGGTTTTTCAAAGTGAGTCCCATGGTCTAAGTAGTGGAACCCCTGGCTTTGTATATGCATTCATATGTATGTGTGCTGGTCTGATACCCTGATGCCCTCATAGCTAGTAGGTGTTTGTTGGGGAAATCTTTAAACTAGAAGTGGTGTTGAGCGTATGCTGAAATGCAGGATGGTGCCTCGCTTGGTTTTAGTGAAACTCTAGACTGTAAGCATTGGCTGTTAATGTCAAATGTACCTCAGGGGATGTGAGGACTTTGGAAGTGAAAGTGAAACAGGCGTCTGGATTGGAGGAGCCCTTTAGGATTGTCAGGTTGATTTTGGTGGAAATACTGTTTAATGTGATTTTACTGAATTATAGGGACATGTAAATGCTCAGAATTGTATTCACTCATAAATGGTTCTATGAAATATTTGCATTCCCAATATAACAGTATCAAAACAGTGCCTAAAAACATATGAAATGGTAGATTAGAAAGTACAGGGAAAATGCATATGTCTTCATTTTGCTGCTACAGACCTTAAACACTGCATACGTGAGTTCTTCAGTCCTTAAAGTCAATTTATACACTATGCTAGGTTGATTATAAATCTGGTTTGAATTTCGATAGATCTTAATACGCTAACATGCCTGCCAGTTTTTGAATTTGAATAGTTGGTGTTGAAAGCTAAGCCAAATCACTGAGCACAAAGCTAATCGGCTCTCTCCCTGGCTGAACAGATATTTAGCAAACTGTCTTTTACTGTGTTGTGTCAGCTCTTCAGTGTCCCCCAGTGAGACTGGGGAGATGAAATTTTGCCTATAATACAGCTCATACTTGAACTAGTGCACCACAGTTAGTGGCCCCTTTTATTTAAACAATATTTTACCTCCATAGGAAACTTGAACACATTTATTAAAGTGCATCTTCATAGTGCTTTACTAAATGAGATGACTGTTGGTTGTTAAAAAATTGATTTATCTTAACTGGGGATAGCAGAGAGAAGTGACTGTCACTTGTTGGTGAATTGATTTGTTTAAATTGGTGGATATCAGGGAGAGGTAAATCAATATTCAAATCTTATTTGTTGCTGAAGTCAGGTCATTATCTGTGTAGCTAAGAGATGGATGGACCAATGCTGCCAGATACAAATGAAAGCTCATGCGGAGGTACCCCCAGGTCCTAAGCTGTCAGGTTCCTGTGCCTCAAAACAATGACCCAGTAGCTAGGCAGTAATGAAACCTCAATTAGACTAAGGAATGAAGGGACTGTGGTAGTGAAGTGCCTTTATTTAAATCTCTAGAGAGTTAAGGTGATTAAATACTTGCTTTATAATCAGTTGACTGCCTCAGGTTGACAATGGAGCACAACGCAGCGCCATTGAGTTGAAATGTAATGAAATCTGGCTTGGGGTCACAATGAAACTCCATTCCAAGACGCCTGCTGAATAGCAACATGTCCCCTCAAATAATGATGCTCTCTGACAGATGAGTGTTCAGCAGAGGAGGGTGGGTGTGGGGCAGGAGTGCTGCAGCTGGGGACATCTGAATCACGGGATCCATGGGAGCAGCCAGGGCTCCCTGCCTGGGTTACTGCAGCAATGCTGATAGGAGGTCCCCAGCTTGAGTAAACCATGCTGTAAGCTGCACAGACAGTGGATAGAGCCCTGCGTGGAGTAGATCAGTAGCACAGGATGCGCTTGAGATTAGTGCACCTAGGACTGGGATGGCTGTAGGATTCCTGGCTGGTAGAAATGGTGATGTTGAGCAGTGGAGGCTTGCTGTCGCATCTGGAAAACACAGAGCAGCCCTGCATCTCTTAGATACTGTGTTCACTTTTGGGCCCCTCACTACAAAAAGGACATTGGATGACTTGAGTGTGTCCAGAGAAGGGCAAAGGAGCTGGTGCAGGGTCTGGAGCACAGGTCTGATGGGGAGCGGCTGAGGAACTGGGGGGGTTTAGTCTGGAGAAGAGGAGGCTGAGGGGAGACCTCATGGCCCTCTACAGCTCCCTGACAGGAGGGTGCAGAGAGGGGGGATGAGTCTCTTGAACCAAGTAGTAAGCGATAGGACAAGAGGGGATGGCCTCAAGTTGCACCCTGGAAGGTTTAGACTAGATATTAGGAAGCATTTCTTTCCAGAGGGGGTTGTTGGGCGTTGGAATGGGCTGCTCAGAGCAGGGGGGAGTCCCCGGGATCGCTGGAGGGGTTGAAGAGTCGGGCTGACCCAGTGCTGAGGGATCTGGTGGAGTTGGGAACGGTCAGGGTGAGGGTCATGGTTGGACTGGAGGAGCTTCGAGGTCTTTTCCAACCAAGACAATTCTGTGATTCTGTGAACTGGCATTGAGTGCTAGCACAGACTGAAAGGAATCTGACTCCAGCTAGCGTATTGGGAGTGAGAGGAGAGCTAGTTCAAAAACTTGCCTCTGCTCTGTGGGAACCCTGGAGAGGTTAGCCCTCAACTAGGGTGAGCTTGTACTTTGCGTGGAAATACCAGCGTAGGCTGGGTGTTTATTAACTGTCAGTACTATGGCCTTAACTATAAATCACAAAGTAATTTATTCCAGGGTGTTAATGAAATTTAGATTTATAGAGAAGTACAGTTTTGGCTAAGATGCAGTTAGTAGCACTGGTGCTGAATAAAACCTAAATATGCTTTGTTTCCATTATGAAACAGAGCACTATAAAGCCCATGAATTTGTATTTATATAAGTGGTTTGGCTCTTAATTATGTGACTAGTTTTGTGAAAGTTCTGTACTTAAGTATGGTTTTCAGACTTGGAAACCTCCTCAAAGCTGTGGCTATTGCCCAGCTTTCAATTCCGGCACCTTCTGCGTGGAGTATCACTG